GAGTCCTTGCTGCAGCGACCCAGGGTCCGAATCCGACCTGCGGCCCTTTGCTGCGTGTCATCCTCACTCTCTGCCCCCCTTTCCTGTAAAAAATATATGACATAAATGTTGATAATTTCTTGCATTCAATGATAATTGTGGTCCTTTTTGTCCCTACTGGATTTGAATCATTCTAACAGGTATGACCATTTAAAAGTGTATTAAATTTGATTCTATATAGTATTTAAAAGTCATACATAAACCCTTTATTGGCATTTATTTGTGTCCTCAATAGTCCTGAGTCTGTGTCTTTTTAGAAAGAAAACTAGAACGCTTGCACCCTGATGAAAATTCCTTTTGCACTCTGTCACATTTGAATTCATTAAAGTGGATCATGATTAACTCTAATGGCTTCTTTAAATTTGCAATTGTGACCAACTTGAATTAACTGACTGACAGGGAAGTTTTCCCTGTCCTTTAAAATCACGACTTGCTCATGTAGCACTGATGGGGTGAAGTTGAAATGGATCCAGTACGTACAAATGAGTTGTTGGATCACTTGCTACAGTTCTGTGCTGTACATTTGCCACACTGAGGCTTAAGTCAGGTGGCCACTAGATGTTTCATCAGAGAAAATCTCATATTATGGGGGTGTGATTGTCTTCTGATGTCCGCCAGAGTGTCCATGCGGTTTGCAGGTGCTTTGATAACAATGGACTATATTGTCTCAGATGTTTTCTTGGAACTTAATCCCTGTTTCTGTAGCATTCTCTCATCTCTTCTCTGAAAGTGCACATCACAGCAAAGAGGCAGTTTGTACAACTCTGCAGTGGCAAGATGTCAGGAATGTGGAGTAAAAGAATCCGCACAGTGCTCGGAGCACTGCCCATTCTCTCACCTGTGCACACCTGGAATCCCTGCAGAGAGCACACGTGGATGACCAGTTGGTTCCAAAAAGCAGTGATGTTGACTCCTCTGTCAGAACATATGAAAGGAGTTTTTCACCGCCTTCTGAAGGAGAGTCTTTCTGATTCAAAGTATCACCTCACTCTTTGTTCTTTTAATACTTATATATTTGTTAGGCATTAGACATTTGAAGAACACAGCCATGAAATAAACTCATTCTTTGCCAAGCATATATAGTGCAATTTAACAGTATAATACAAAAACCATGCTAATATTATAATAAATTATGCTTTTTATTAAATGTGTACTAATGGCCAAAACGGAACGGTTATATACTATGTCATAAAAAATTAGTATAACCAAACAATGACTTAAATGGAAGCAGAAAACAAGAAAATGCAACCAGCAATTCTTGTATCCAAACCTACAACTGAGCCAGAGGTAGCAGGAATCAAACCCCAGGTCACTGTGGTGGTGGACACTCCTGCTCCTCCTCTCTACCCCCAAATGTAAGGTTCTTTGTCCCCGACATGAAATAGGTTCAACATGCTCATATCTTATTTGTAGCAGACATGTTTGTTTGAGTGCAGTCATATACACAATGCTGAACACCACACTAGGGATGGGACGATATACAATATTATCATGGTGAAATTTAATGTGGTAAATTTACGTTATTGGAATGAATCAGGATAATTGTGCCTATCCTCATATGAGGGACTTGAACAAGCTGTCTAACTCTCTCTAACGTAGTCATATATGGATTTCCTGAATGGGGGAAATCCATATATACAATATATTATAAGTATTGTACAATAAGTCATAGTCATTGTCATGAGCACTCTTCTGTTCCAGCACTGCTTGTGTGTGTTTCGTGCACATGTGTGGTGAATCATTAGACTGTGATTTATGAAGCTATATGTAGACCTGAGGCTCGAGCCTGGCTCTTTTCAGATGAAGCCAGCTCCACGTGGATTTGTTGGATGGATGTTGGCTTTGGGCCCTGACACACCAGAATGACTTCAAAGAATTAGTGCTGACTAATGTGCCACCTCATGTCTTGTTAAAAGCAGCACTTAAACTCACCTCAAAGGCTACAGTCAGTGACCAGCTGGCTGCTGACATGCTGTAGACTTTATTTTTCTACATCACTGAAAACAAACTGGCAACCATTATTACACAACTGTGAATCTGATAAAATAGTGTCCACTGGGGCTGGGCAATATGGCCAAAAAGTAAAAGCTTTTGTTTGTTTGTTTGACTAAAACATAATTAAACATCTGAAACATTTTGAATTTAATGTGCAAGAATAATAAAATATCTGTACTTGCAGGGCTGTTATCATTATGCATATTCAAAACTAGAACTAGACATGTTTTTCAACCACGTCCAAAGACAGATGTGTTTGTGACTGTTCCTAACGGCCATACTTAAAGGTGGCAGGACTAAAAGTAACCTTTTCTGCATGTTATAACAATGATTTTCACAATGTATACATTTTATGTCATGCAAAAACAAAAGTTGTATTTAATCTATGCCCCAACTTTAGTGTCACTAAAGCTACGTTCACACTGCAGGCTCAAGTGGCACAAATCAAATGCAATCTGATCTTCTCAATTCTGATTTGGGCCACTTTCATACGTGGTCCTAAATCCGATACAGGTCTGATTCTTTGCAATGTCACTGTTGCAATGTTTAATGTCCCTCAGATCAACATTTATCGTGCTCTACAGGGCCGTGTTCACACTGGAACCTGATATGGGCTGCATTTTAAAAACAATGTAGCGTAACTCAAATTTAAAGGAGTACTCCAGTGTTTGAATATATGTTTCCCATAAAGTATACGTAAAAGGTTAAAATTGAAGCAGCAGGGACGGAGATATCCTGACTTTTAGTCTCTAATATGGATCAAGTAAAAAAAAAAAAAGCTAGAGCCTACAATTCCCATGTTGCAAATAGATAGGACGGATCTGAGAAAGAGATGCTGTCTGCTTAATACTCATGTCTTTCATACTCCATGTCCACTCAATTAACTGTGAGGATTTTTGCTGGACAGAATGTGGAACTGTTTTATGCATTTAATTTGCAGTATTGTATTGGAACTCTTTTATTAAATCGGAAAAAGTGGAAATGGTGAATGTATTATGGCATGAAAGTCGTCAAATGTCACAGAATATTGATGTAAAAAGCGGTATTGTATTTTATTTAACACTTTTGTTTTCTCTTCTTCCTCCCAGTCCGAACAGCCCAGTCCAGCCAGTTCCAGCTCCAGTTCAGGCTTTGCTCCCACACACCACAAACGACAAGGTAATTTTCTGCAACGTACATACAGCTGATCTCATGTTTATTGTCTCATTAAGTCAGAACTGATGTGTATAATGCGTTTTAGTAGAAATAAAAGGAGCTCAGTCAGTGTCAGAGCCTTAAACCACACTGGCATTTCCTTTCAAACTGAACATAACACTGAATTCTTTTTCGGAGACAAGGAGTCTGTTTGCTTTGGTATCACTTTACAGGCCAATTTCAGTATCAGGGCCACTGTTGGAAAATACAAAATTAGAAAATGTTGAGGATTAGAGTCCAGTGTGTAACATTTAGGAGGGTCTATTGTCAGAAATTGAATATAATATTCATAGGTATGTTTTCATTAGTGATCTTTAGAATGAGTTGTTTTTAAATACAGAGGGAGCGGGTCCTCTTCTATGGAGTCCGCCATGTTGAACTGCCATTTTTGTACAGTAGACCAGAACAGACAAACCAAACACTGGCTGTAGATAGGACCTTTTGCATTTTTTTGCACGTTTCGCAGCCACCACAGTTTCACCTTCGCACTGGGAAGGGGAGACTAAATCAGAGATTTTTTATAATATATTTAGTTTTGTGCAAAATAATGGCAAAGGTCAAGGGTGCCTGTAATAAGTGCAAAGGGTTGATAAGAAGAGAGCAGGAAACTGCTGTTTGCAATTTTTGTTGATGTTAGTAATGGAAATAAGTTCAAAATATTGAGCTTTCTTGTGGTACTTGAACGTTGAAGTGGCCATCCTATGTGACAATACCAGCAGTGGCTCCAAGACAATCTGAGTTTGAAACTCCTGCACTAAATCAATAAAGTAAATATATTTTGAAAATGTTACAGGAAAAAAGATGAAATGTTGAGAAAAGCCATGTTATTATGAGGTAAAGCCATTATTTATAAGAGAAAATTATAATATTTCTTGATTACAGGATAATTTCACTTGAAATAGTTGTAATATTATTATATAATGGAATGACGTTATTCTCAGAATCTTTTTGTCTGACAGTTGGCATAATATTTGGTGGTAGAGCTCGACCTGAATCACCAGACCCGTTCAAACTATTTTCCAGTGTAACCCACTTATCAGAACCCCTTATTTGAAAGTGAAAACGAAGGCAAACAGTGATACTATGCTGTCGGTCAGTAAGAGGGCAAGGTGAGTCTAGAATGTATTGTTTGGTGACCTCTGCCTTTGTGTTTAATTTTCTCTGGATGCAGTGGTGGACTTCATCATCAGGAAAAGGGTGGCTATTCCTGCCACTACCCACACAGGTAACAGTCCCTCTGAGACCTGTGAGCCCCTCCCCCACACCCTTTTCACATCTGCATGGGGAACATGCACCCTGAGAGAGGAGACACACTATTCATCTCCACTGACTGTCCACACGTCAATGAGACACACTGTTGCACTGAGTGTTCCTTCATCACCATGAACTCACACTGTACTTTAGTTGAAGTTTATTACTTACTTGAAAAATCAAATGAAACTATATTTGTGAGCTATCAGGGCTCTTACTAAAGGGTGTCCTACTGTTCAGGTGATGGGGAAAAAATGATCAGGGATGATAAAAAAAAAAAAAAAGCCAATAATAGGAAGCTGTTTTTTTCACAGATTATCTGCCTCGTCTACTACTGTCAGGATACAGTGAAGGTTTCAGCAAATATGACAAAGTTATTTATATGAAAGTTACCTACTGCAGCTTTAATCTCTGACAAAGGTGTCAATGTAGAATTGCGACCGAGTACACAATTCAAGAGTGCGCACACTCAGTTACACAGCCAGAAAGCAAACCGTGACAGTACCATCTGAAAGCAGTTACTATGCCATGCTGAAGCAGTTGTGAGATTTTGCACTTACTGGTGTCACCGGTAGCCAAACCGGCAAAATGTATTGTATTTTATTGGCTTTAATGGATAGTGACAGCAAAGGGGGGATGACACACAGTCAGCTCTGCGTCAGCCCTACCAGGTGAGCTACCAGGCCTGCCTATTTTTAAAGATTTAGACTTCAGTAGGAACCAATGGGCTTAGAGCTGAGAGCCACAGACAGAGTAGGGGAGTCAGGGGAGACTAACACATTGTTGGTCTTTTTGTGGGATTTGCTGACAAAATATATAAAAACAGACAGCCTTATCAAGTATAAATGTGTCCCTGCTCTTACTGGGATCAAACCAGCATCCGTTCTGCAGCCATGAGCTCCACTGGATCATCCCGCCATCCCTCCACCTCGCAGCATGATCCACTGCCTCATGCATGTTTGTACTCATGCTTAATTGTAAATAATAACAATAATAATAAAAAGACTCAATTGCAGTGTGGTCTCTTGTGTTCTGTCTCACTCACGCACAGTGCTGGGCCCGCTGCAGTCAGTCATGCAGGATCTGCACTCAGACGACAACGATGAAGATTCAGAGGATGACGACGACAATGACATGGACTCTGACGTGGAGCGACCCGCACACACACACCTCACACACCATCAACGCAGGTCAGTAAATGGTCACAATCACAACGGGCCAGCTTGTGTCATTAAAGTGTAATCATAGACACAGGCAGCACATACTAACAGGATACAGACACTGTTTAACTAGACTATTGCAGTTTGGGTTGTTGAGGGGCAGGTTTGTGATTTTCTGTGTAACCTCTCACTGGAGTGAATTTTGGCGTGTTCTCACATGCAGAATGGTGAGCTTGCACTTAAAAACAAGCTTGGGTTTGGCACAGGACTCTGATCACCACATTGTGCGACTCCAGTCAGAACTTGTCTGAATTTACACTTTACACTCAGTTTCCGGGTTCCCCTGAGTAGCAGTAAATATGTTTTCAGGTTGGCTATACCACTGCAGTGCCAAAATACCCCCTTTTTGAAAACGTGTGGAGGCGGTAACAGTCTCAGGTTTGTCTCAGTTAGATCCAGGCAGCCGCACTGAAAAGGTATAATGCGTTTTTTGATCTACTGAAGCATTTATTGTCTTTTCTCCTGCAACTCCTACCCAGGGTCAGTCTGAGTGATGGCAGTGAGAGTGACAGCTCTTCGCCTTCACCCCCACACCGCAACGACGCCCCGCCCTTACTTAAGACTACTAATAACCAGGTAAGATAATAGTATACTATGTATCAGGTATTTTGTCAGTGTAATTCTGTCGGTGTAATGTACCACAAGGGGAAATCAGGCATTTAAGGCATACTACGTAGGATTTTCCTAACAAACAATATATAGACTCGTACAAACATAATCCCTCTCAGTCATCATTTATGACCCTGTGGAAGCATGTTTCAGTGTCTGTATCTGAAGACCCTGCAGCCCTCCGCCTTCTTATTTTTCTGTGTACGGGACGTTTCTGGGTGTCAACCTTTGGACACCGTGCAAGATCTGAGGTCAGGACTAAAATAAAAACATAGGGTTAGATCGGTTACTAGGTTACATCGACGTCTCTGTCACTCTCTTATGCTCTCCAGCTCTGGCATAGCACTAATGGAGATCTATGCAAGGCTATGACCAAGGGATTGGGCTACACACAGCAGACAGTGCAGCTTCAGCAGGATTATGCGGAGGAGTGGAGATGCTTTAGAACGGAACCACTGTGAAACAATCAGAAAATAAAGTTTTTATTATTATTTATTTCTCTGATTCACTGCTTTGTTCTCTTGTGTCGGCCTTGCCGTCTACCTTGTTCTACCATCGCTGCTCTCAGTTAAACCGGGGGGAGGGGTCAACTTTGAAAAATCCTGTATAGTATGCCTTTAATGTATGTAGCTTCAAGTCATGCAGAGTGACTTTGATTCAATGTGTTTACTCTGTCCTCTGTCAGATACTGGAGGTGAAGAGTCCCACCAAGCAGAGCAAGCAGGACAAGAACAAAAACCTAGATTGTGACAAGGTACACAAAGCTTTTTTTTTGTTCTTCAGTAGAAAGCAGCCCGTATGAATTAGATTGTATATTACCAGTAACATATGGGAGCTGTGCATGTTCAGCACCTGACTTCAGTAGAGTCTGGGACCGTATGTTACACTATTCAGACAGACAGTGATGCAGGGTTGATGTCTGTTAACTGTTGCTTTGAATGGGTTAACCTACTTGCTCTTGACCTGTATAACATCAGGGTTCCCACGAGTCCTGGAAAAGCTGGAAAACCTGAACGTTTAGAGAGTAGTGTTCCAGACGTTGACACACCGGGAAATTAATTAAAATGACCAAATATCCTGGAAATAATTTATGTATGGAAAATCTTTATTGTATTTTAGCCTGTGCTGTGTCCAAATTAATGGTATGGTTGTAGGACAGCTGTTGTCAATTCGGAAAGCGGAAAAATAGGCTAGCCAAGTGCGCCACAAAAGCGAGCTAACACAGAGTGTCCCTTAAACGGTGACCACCTATGGCTGACCACTGTATGTGAGTAAGTGCTATCCTATAATGTCCTGGAAAATGTTCTGGAAAGGTCCTGGAAATTGATTTCTTAAGAGTGGGAATCCTGAACATGGTTTTGGTACAACACCTGTAGAAATACTTGGTGCTATAGTTATTATAGAGTTGATGTAACTTCATAATTGATTTTGGCAGACAGCTCTTAACTAACTCATGCTGTGTTTAAGTGGAGTTCCTGAATTTTCCAAAGATACCAAAATCAGGTCTGAATACTTTACTCAGTATAAACATCATATGGTTTCAATGACAAAGAATAGATACATTATGTGATACCGTCAGGCAGACACATTTCCAATCTTAAAGCTACTTAAGAGGAAACATAGGGGGAAAACTGGCTTGTACAAACTTAAAAGGTGACTAACAACAAAATAAACCAGTGTAGGTGTTGCAGCAGTTGACAGCTCTGCTAGAAAATACAATTATATATATATATGTGGACAAATATATCACGTTGAGAGCCAGATCTTATTTAAAAGCAGGGTTGGGAGGGTTATTTTAAGAATGGAATATAGTTACTAATTAAGTCGTCCTTTATAGGTGAATAGATGAAAGTGCTGATCTCACCTGACAGAGAACGAGGGTCAGCCTACCTTCTGATACAAGCAGGGTTCCCACACACCCTGGAAAACCTGGACATTTTTAGACCAGTTTTCCAGTGATGGAAACACCTGGAAGTTGATTATAATGACCAAATATCCTGGACATGTTTGTATTTTTGCCCCTGACACAGATCACCTGTGTAAACCTTGGTGCATATTTAGTTTGAAACTCGACTGTTGGAAGGATAAGCTGTATGATACTTCAAAGTAGCTTTATCAGATGCAAAGAGGAACTGACAGCAGTGATCGGTTCTCATATCTGCATCCATGCAGCATCGAGTTTCTTGTTGCAGTAGTCATACAGGCACAGTGATGTTAATTGTAGCTGCAACAAAGACTTTCTAGAAGATGACTTTTCTGTAGTAAAATAATAAAATCAATTCTACTGGATTTGAACTCTTACTTATGAGCTATGGCCACATTAATGTAGTCAAGTTGCCCTTAAATTGAAAAAAGGGAGGTTTGTAGATAAAAGATCATTTATAAAAGTTTAAGAATGTCGGTAAGAATTCTAGCTGTACCCCGCTGTGTGTGCAGCAGTTATTTGGGTCTTGCAGCCTGGAGACGACTCTGGTATGAAGGGGTTAAATGTGGGTTGAGCGTGTGTTCATTGCCTCACAGCAGGTTTGTGTGTAAAAGTGGCATATGAAAGCCATAAAGCTAACAACACGTTGCTGTGTGTTTCCCAGGCTTACCTGGACGAGCTGGTGGAACTGCACAAGAGACTGATGACACTAAGAGAAGGTCATATACTGCAACAGGTATGTATGATGGTACACTGTCAGGTAGCATCACTGTGCAACACTGTCAACTGAAGGTGATTATTATCATTTCCTTTCTGCTGTGCCGTTTTTCACTCCGCCTGCCTCCTCTCATTCAGCTACACATCTCCCACAATGTATATCACATGTGGGCTTATGGATAGTATTAGTGAACACTGTGATGTGTTTATGTTGGCCGTCATGGCTGTTTCTGTGGATTCAGTATGTCCTGTAGCTGCACTGCAGTCGTCTGTTGGTTGAAGCTGCCTCTTCTGTCTCTGCTGTGCTGGATTTCTCCCAGAAATACTGTTAAAAAAGTCTCAAATGATGAGGTCCAGAGGGAATAACTTGGTCTCAATGCTGAAGGACAACATCGTTTTTAAGATGAGCTGAGAATATTTTTCACCTCCTACATTATGCAGTTGAACTGAATTACTCAGTGTGCTCAGCAGGGTGCATGGGTTGGCCAGGGATTGTACCACTGCAGTGTTTTCTGACTTACTTGAACACTTTTTATTCCTTAAAAATAATGAACAATATATCTTTTCCCTCTGTCCCTTCTTTCGAGTGCACCAGAATGCTTCAGTTACATGTTAAAACCTTGTTATTTGGGTTCAGGGTTGTAACGTTTGCAGACCTGAAAATGTCCCATCACTACAACCTTCCCCCAGTGTGTGCACAAAATAACACTTATTTTTATAGCAAGCAGTTTGCATGTTTTTGCTGTTCAAAACCATAGACTGTGTCCGTAGTCTCCGTTACACCACCTATGGGTTTGTGAAGAGCCGCTGTGAAGCACAGTGTGAGCGGCTCTGACCGTGGCCATCTTCGAGTGTGGGTGGAGCTGAGGTGGGCTGAATGAGGTCTAGTTACTGAAAACAGCAGCCTGTGACAGCACCCACCTGTCACTCAAAGCGGCCATGCCCATAGTTATACATAACTTTAAGCCTTAATACAATTTAATTTCATTAGACCCGATAGCTCACCTGGTAGAGCTGGTGTTACGGGTACAAAGAGTCTTTGCTGCAGCGGCCCAGGGTTCAAATCTCATCATCTCCTCTCTTTTCCCCTTTCCAATCACTCTTCTGTCACTATCAATTAAAGGTAATAAAATACATTTAAATAATATATATATATAAACACATACATATCTAATTTAAAGTGGTGAGTTGTATAAAAATTCACCCCCCATACAGTTCTCATTTACAGGGGAAATTAGCTATAGAGACCAGAATAGTCTTTGTACCAGGCAGTAAACATGTTTACTTCTACTATAAAGGTGGGCATTTTAATATGTGGCCTTATGGAGATTGACTCACTGCTGGAGCCAGCCTCAAGTGGCTGTTAGAGGAACTGCAGTTTTTGTTACTTCAGCGTTGGCTTCATTTCTCAGAGCGGTGAATTTGTCAGTGGGTAAAAGATGTAGTATTAACTGTCGAACAGTTTAAAAAGTATCGGGCTTGAAGTATCTACACAGTTGACTAAGAAAATTCACAATCACTCAGTTATAACATAATGTAACATTAGCTAACATTAGTTAGTTAGCTAGCTAGCTAGCTAGCTAGCTATCTTAACAGCCAAAGTGAGACAGCAAGCTAATATTTTCAGCTTTGTCTGACATGTTGTAAGTCTTCAGCCCCACCTAGCACTGCTGACTCAATTCACAGTCTGACCTCTTAAAAACACAATAAATATACATATACATCTAGAAAATAAAATAGTCTACTATTTAAATGAAACTGCACTCATAATCTTAAAAGTATCAGATTCAATTGACAATAAGAAAACATTTAATGTAGTGGAGGTTTGATATTATCACTTACATTCCTGCATTATTATCTCCTGTGGAAAACTTACACTGAACTGCCAAGCTCCAGATATAAAGTGAAAAATGCATTGGCTGCCTTCCCACAGTTTTCCCTGATCTCAGCATAATACCACTACCTGCCAGTGCTATTGGTCAGCTGTATTGTTGCGTCGGATAAGAAGAGGAGCTGTGATCTGTTACAGATCCTCTGCAATCTGCAGCTTCATCTGGAAGCAATGAATTATTTGGTTAACCTCTCTGCACCTAAGAGATTGCATGTTTCTTGCTTATATTCCCGGGCCCTATCATATGACGGTATTAGTGGATCTTCCCGGCTGCAGCTGCCAAGTTCTGCCTCGCTCTCCTAACGAGACGTCTGGCTCTGAGGAAAGAAGAAATCTCATCCAAAACAGCTTTAACTCGCGCCGTAATCAAGCTAATCTAGCCGAGTTCACCAACTGGCTCCACTTCCTGTTACAAGAGATGGAAATGATTAACTCGCAGCCTCTCCTGCACACTGGCGGGAACCACATATTGTATCACAGAGAGCGCTGTAATGCAGATGGCGCCTCTTCAGACAGTGGAACACAACATGAGTTTGGTAGCTGTTGAAATGAATCCCAAACTGCAATGAAAATGAGCAACCAGGCCGACGAACACAAGGCACCACAGTGAGAGAGGTGACGCCTGAGCATCTGACTTAGATCTACCCTGTCATAAAAACTGGCTGTAATTTTCCCCACATTTTTAAGAACTCTACCTACACATATTATGGTGTTCCTTCTCCCAACCACAAGCTTCTTTTTCTCCACTGGGTACAAAGTCTAAAACCAGTAATACACAGGAAAGGTACATGAAGGAGGAGGCCTTGCTCATTTTTATTACACTGCAAGCTTTGCCCAAACTGTAGAACTCTTGTACGCCGCATCTAACCAGATCAAATGTGTATGGACCCTGTTTTCGTCTTTCGTCTGAACCACTCTGCTCTGCGTTTTCTGCAGGGTTCCCACGTCCTGGGAAACCTGGACATTTTCTACTCACAGAAACATCTGGGAATTGATTAAATTGACCAAATAAAATAATCTATGTTGTCCTGGAAAAGCTCAGACCACCTCTGAGCTGTAGTCAAACTGAAGTCAGTTTTTAGAGCTGCGGTAAAAAAGCAAGCATGCCACCAAAGTGAGCGAACAGTCTCTCTTAAACGATATGTATTGCCAAGAAAATGTCCTGTAAAGGTCTCGGAAAACGATTTCTTGAAAAAAAGAGTGTGAACCCTGGTTCTGACGTACTCACCTTCAGCATGCTTAGTCAGAGATTTAATGATGATCCATTTCATCCATTTAATGTTTCAAATTGTCCTCCCAACAGGAAATGCTGAAAAAATAAGATTCATTTAGCTAACAGTGCTAACATGGTTAATGCTTCCTGTGGTAGTTTCTACTAGTGTATGCAGGAAGTAATGTCAGTATAAACATTACATGTATCTATCAGTAGCTAATGAATGGTTCACATTGAAAGAGGCTGACTGTGTTCTGATGTTATTTCACTACTTTGGTTTCATATTTAATGAATCCTAAATTGGGCAGATATTTTAACTGCATACGCAGGTTAAATGTTCAGACATAATAGAACTTGTGTTTACCCGTGGTACTCTCTGTCCTCCAGATTGTGAACCTGATTGAAGAGACGGGACACTTCCACATCACAAACACTACTTTTGACTTCGACCTTTGCTCCTTGGACAGAAGTACAGTCAGAAAACTCCAGAGTTACCTGGAAACCTCCGGACTGTCCTGAGGCTCTGAGCAGCTGGCTGCTGGATCTCGTCTCCACACAGACTTTTGATTTTTCTTGAATACAAACTCCCACCTTTGGATGCAATGCAAAAGCCCCCCCCCCCCCCCCCCNNCCCCCCACTGTGGCTGGGTCCAGTTGCTGTGTGTCCAGCCTGCTGGTTGGACTGGGCTCTCTGAATGAAGAGGTGGCCCCGCTACAGAAACCAGAGCCAGGTGTTGTGAGGTGTGAGCCCTGTCGATCAGGAGATCACCCGGAAAGCCTTGAAAACTTCACTTGATTTATAGGAAAAAAGTGGGGAGTGGCGACCTTGTTGCTCTTAATGAATGTGCATATTGTTACCATGTATGTTTCTTGATTTGTTGTTCATTGTGACAAATGCATGGTCAACATTGCCTTACAACATTGTAAGTCTTATTTATTGAATTTAATTTGCAGGTGTGCGTGTGTGTGTGCGTGTGTGTGTGACTGTGTGTGTGT